TAAAATATATACAACCTCAAAGAAGGTTCGGAACCAATGATTTAGACGCTAATCTTTGTTGTTCTCTTAAATCATTGTTGTTCTACACAGTCTGGTTGAAAAAGGAAACCACTGAGCAGGTGAACTTATTGGGACTTTGAGACAGTACCCAACCTTCTCTTGCACAAAATATAAACACGTGTGTCCTGTTCTCTAAGGCGTGATTGAAAACTTTTGCTCCAGATTTCAATTGAAATCACTTCCAAAGATCAAAACACATTAATGTGTTCTCTTCTCATAAATTCACTTTTCCCATGCAATCAACCTTATAATTGAAATTGGAGATGCCTGTAAATGAGCGCCATAATTAGCCTAGCATTATCATCAGCGAGGGGAAGCCTTTTTCATAAACACTTCAGCTTCAAGTGCTCACAGCCACCCTCTGAGTAATTTGGCCCATCAGTGTAAAAGAAGGGTAGGAGGGATTTGACTCACTATTTCTGTTAAAAGAAGGGTAGGAGGGATTTGACTCTTCACTATTTCTGGATTTACCATCATCACAGTCATTACCTTCATCAGGAAATCATACTCCACACATTTGAAACATATTCAAGCTTAATAAGGGTAATTAAAGGGCCACACGGTGGCAGATGTTGGTAGAACGCTGCGAATGATTTGGAAGTTTCAATTCCTGCTTGATCTTTCTGTATGGAGTTTGCATGTTGTGCCTGTGTATACACTGGCTTCCTACCACAGCCCAAAACATGCTTATTAGTGGAGAAGGTTATTTGGACACTATAATTTTACCATAGGTGTAAATGTAAGTGTGAATGGTTATATGTAGCCCTGCAATGGACTGGCAAACTGAATGTACCGTCCCTGGCCTGTAGCTAGCTGGGATTGGTACGGGGCCCCCACTACCTGAAAGGGAAAAAGCTGTAGTTAATAAATAATGAATGTAGCTTATTCATCTACCCTATTAGTCTGTTTGGGACCAAAACCAACACATTATTTTCAGTCATCAAATGGACAAAACATTTCCAAAGCAGCCTCGGCTCCTGCTCTTAAAACAAACTCCTTTTTCAATAAAACAACAGAAAGTGAAAGCATGAATTGCATTTGGATCATTGTGCTACTACTGTGTATTTCTGCAGTGAGAAAATACTTGCAAATATAGCTCAAGGTGTAGGCAGTTGGTTGTTGGTCAGCCGTGATCTACATTATTGAACTGCACAGATGAGTTTTTAGAAAGCTGCTGTGCAAGCTTTTACAGGTTTATTTCCCCGATGTGATGTGTCTGTGTCTTGGCAGCGATGCTCTCTCAATGAAATTATGCAGAGATTTAAAGGACTTTTTCAATTTTTGCAATTTACTGAGAACAAAGACTGGACTGGAGAAATGACGTTTGCCCTGTGGTTGGAAAATTACTTGATTTGACTTGCAGTGTTGTGACTGTCCTCTTTGGTTGGTTTGATTTACATTTCACTTACAAACATTTGCAGGACACTTCTATTAAATACAAAAGGTTGTCATAAATGCATAAATGCAACCAACTGGCAGCTGCTATTAAAACTAGAAGAAAAATGTACGCATAGGGGAATGGTTGGCAAATAATTTTGGTCTTTGAGGAGAGCGATGATTATAAATGTAAAATATTCAATTAAAAAAACTAAAATTTTGTCAATTTCTTGTCAGAATAACAGTGTTAAATGTACAAATGTGCATTGAATTCAGTATACTGTAGTTATGACACAGTGTGCATTGAATTCAGTATACTGTAGTTGTGACGTTGTTGGAGGTGTACAGCTCCATAACAGGCACTACATTAGTATTACATTTTGAGATATATAAAATATAACCTTACAGCATTCACAGCACCCTCTGCAGAGTAGGATTTCTTAATACATTTTGCAGCCTATATCTTATTGGTATAATATATCAATATCTTATTGATATATTGTGTTATTCATAAATATACAAAACATTTTTCATTCTCTTAAAACAACATATTCTCAGTGATGCCTTTAATAGTGCAATCTTTAGGTGACATATTGTTTCAACCATGTTTGATCAAGTACTGTCTTTAGTTCAGTTTAGTTATGTGTACCCAGCACTCTGCATTACTTTGTTCCCCCGGGCGAACAGCATTGATTTTTGGTTGGTGAATTAGCATTTCATATCACCTTTTCTCATTTAAAATGGTGATTGCTGATATCTTATCCAGGACAAATGGTCCGCTAGGGAATTGAAGCTGAGGGCGATGTGGATCAGCCACAGAGTATTAACGAGCTTATCATCACAATGTAAATACGGATGTGTGGGTGTGTGTTGTTGTGTGTGTGTGCTGATTGCCTCAGGGCCCGTCCCTCTGTGGAAGTGTCACAGTCAGTAATCAGAGGATAAACTAGAGGGGAATTACAAATGACTATTTCGTCTGGATGCAACAGTGTTGGCTGTAAAAGGCGGATCGCACAGCGAAAAGAAGGAATAAATCAGCTCGCCCACTTGTAGTAAAGTCTCAATGCAGAATGAACTTGACTTTGATCCCTGTGTACTAATGATATTCTACACGTATCTGTAGCTTGATGAATCTATCTACAAAGTTACAAAGAATGGTCATTATCATAAAGATAAGGAAAAGAGTTCAGTCATTAATCGCACATCAATACAACCCTGAAGCCAAGTGTTAGCAGTACAGTTAGCAGAGCCTTCCAAATATTATCCACAGAATAATTAACAAGTTCAATATTGGTCACAGAATATAGATAGTGCAGAGCTAAGCAGCATTTGTTGTCTTTCTGTTTTATGCCAGTGATCAGCTGCATCAAAGTATCAGAAACATAAATGAATAACTAACACAATATCCTTGTGCATCAACATGCACTATACTGTCTGTCAACTATGTTTCACTACAATGACTTCGGTAAAAAATACATAGATACATATAAATTACTATTTACAAATGGAAAATAAAACCAATAGGTGGCGGTAAAGCAGCAAGAGGCTACTAAGCTGCTCTTATGAGCTAATGGGAGGGAAAGCAGGTGGATGGGAGCATTAGGTTAACGATAGAGTTAGCTTGGTTTATTTCTGATTAGCCTGAAAATTGGTGTTCTAAATTGGTAGTTTGTTTGTTGCCATATCTACGCCCCATGAAAATGGGCGTCAATATGGCAACCACTGTGTGTACACCATTTGGAGGTGTAGAAATCCCTTCATCATTATTTCTCTGCAGCATATTTAAATTGGACACATCATTTGATAAGCATTAACATTAATTTCAAGTTCTTGTTTATATTACCTCAGGATATCACCTTTGCTGATGGCCATCTGATGGCCACTATTTTCACACAGTATAGGCTTGTAGAAACCACTACATATCAGAACCACTGCATTATAACAAGTCTTGTGATTTATACAGACAAAAATCAACAGTTTCTAGAATCCAATAGAATGTTGTTTCCTATGAACAAAAGGAGTCATGGTTCCTAGTGCCGTATTATCTATCAAGACACAATGATTTAGAAAGTAGTGTACCACTACTTTTATGTATTGTTCGGATCTTTATTTGTCCCAAATAAATAAAACCATTTCCTCATTAGAATCCTTAAAAAAAAAAAAAATCCAACTTCGTCACTGCTGCATTAACACCCGACAAAGAAATTAGGTTTTGCATGTCTTATCAAGACTTTGCAGCTGTTTCAAGTGCTCCTTCGATGGACACAAGGGGTTCTTGTTCATCTCTAAGTTCACGGTCAGTACGACTGTTTCCCAAAGTGACACTGTTCTTTGCTGCACAACACAGCTTCCCTCTCACTGTCCCCCCAATTAGACTTGGAAACGACAGGCTCATTAGTTAGTTCAGGTTATAGGGCTCTTGCATCCCCCTGACGTCTCTTTCACAGTAACAAGACAAACTCTGTTAACATAGAGCATCCAATTATTCAGGAAAATCTGCCAGCGCCATGAACAACGTGGCGAGCAGTCTCTTGTCAGTAATCTGATGCAGTCTCTGTTTCTGTGTCACACTGTGGATAATAGAAATCACAGTACAACTTCAAAGTTTTCCTGTGACTGCAACAGCTTATTTATTGTCTGGTCTATGTAAATGTTTTAGGTTTTGTGTGTTACTGTGTAAACAGTCATTATTACAGCCTTTAACAATAGCAGCAGTCTTCTCTTGACGTTCATCTACAATGAAATGAAACTTTTACTTCACAGTCCAGACTACAGGTCCATCCCATTTGCATATTTTGTGACAGTGAGTCTTAAGTCGTGCACCCAATTTGCACAGATGACATTAAATTAGAAGAGAAGATGTCTGCTCACTGTTTTAAATGAGCTAATAGCAGTAACATTTACTGCTTTCTAGAAATGTTTCTTCTTCATTACATATTCAACATTATTACATTTAACAGTGATTTTTAATTATTGCCAACCTAGTGTTAAAATGCTGAATATCCTTGAATGTGTTCTAAACTTTTTAAAGGGTATGATATAACTGTCTTACACTACATCCTGAAATTTAAGCAAATAAAACCCTATATTATTGCTAAAATTTCAAATTTGAACCAAGCAGATTTAAGCAGTGATGAACTAAAACACCAATTTCAAATGTATTTTTCCAAAAACTATATTGAAAATAGACAATAAAACACAACACTCTTAACACAGTATTTTACTATTTATTGCATTTTGTGTAAATTGATTTAAATAGTCTCTTGCAGCATTAAGCGTTAAAGCATAGTATTAGGTTAAAATTAACCTCTTATTTTGTGCAACAAACGTGAATATAAACGTACTGAAACATTACGTTGGTAGAGTAGAGTAGGGCTTTATTCATTTGGTCGACCAAAACCTATTCCTGAACAAAACATTCTTATAATATAAAACATTTGCATTTAAAATAACAAAGAAATTGAAGCAATATAGCTAGAAAATAATAATAAAAAATGTTTAATGTAGTTATTAACGATGGAGTATACTTAAACAGAAATACCATGTATCGAGTTTATATGGCCCCGCCACGTCATCACAAACGCGGAAGTAAACTGTATTTATAGTTCAGCATGTCAAGCGCCGGATACTCTGCAGTGAGCCATGTCATTTTCGATATGGATGGACTATTATTAGGTCTTGAAATGCACAATATGTATTTTCTACCTTGTTAGGAACGTTTGGTCATTCAGTACGAAGCTGCACAATTAGCGCTAAACGCGTCTATTTGCCTTCATTCCGAACTCCATGGAATGAATGTGCACCTTCACGTTTTAGGGTCGTATGGTCTCAAAGCAACAAACTATACAATATTGTAATCGTAAGCGTTTATAACATTTAACGCTGTACATAAATCCGACCTTGCACATAAATAATACAGATTTAAGTAACACTCATGGTGGTCATCGTGGTAACAGGGTAGTTCCCACAATTATGCCTGAAGTGAAATGTATCGAATAGTAAAAATACGCCTTAAAATTTCATCAATGAAGATCTGTGAAACGCGAGCATGGACCTGTCAATAATCCTGGCCGCTGGAAATAACGTTATATTTTAATGAGGTTCAGTTAGAGTGTGCAGTTACAGTACTTCTGCCGCCATGTCACCGATTACCCCAGGGACTGCAATTAAGTGAAGAATAAATATTCAGATATATCTGGGAAGTTGTTAACTATGTCCTCTAGTAATGAAACAATGTCAGCTGATGCACCTTAAACATTTTCCTTTAATTGTAACCATTTCCAGAAGATTATCTCTGTTCTTTGCAGCTTCTGTTATCAATATAACTTTTAAAACTAATGCTGATTGTTTCCCCCCATTTTCCATGTTGTTATAGACACTGAGCGCCTTTACACGGTGTCCTTCCAGGAAATCTGTGACCGCTTTGACAAGCAGTACACATGGGATGTGAAGTCATCAGTCATGGGGAAAAAGGCTCTGGAAGCTGCTCAAATTATTAAAGACAGACTGGAGCTTCCCATGACAGCAGAGGAACTTCTGGCAGAAAGTCGACAAATACAAGAAAAGATTTTTCCCTCTGCTAAACTTATGCCAGGTAATTCTAAACCATTTTTTTCAAATTCATGTTTCCAATGTTTTTCTGGGTGTTTTGCAAATTTTATTTATATTGTTACAGTTGTAATGTCAACTGAAAAAGTGCAAAAAAGCAGTGGCTTACAATAGCTGCTTCAAATACTGATCAGTATGCTTAGTATATATTTACTAATGGTATTTATATGGAACCAGATCATTAAGGGAGCTCAGTGGAATGTAGTCCTTGAAGCAGGGAATTAAAACCCCCTAACTGTGTGCTCTGCAATGTTTAAAAAAGGTGATAATTACATGATATATACACTGTATGTGCATTGACCTTGTATGACTGCAAAATCACTTTCAGGCAGTCACTGAGGTTTTGTTAGAAAAAAAAATAACTATTTATTGTCAGGTATAATTATCAGTCTTGAAAAAAGATGTGTATGAGTAATACACTATATTTCTGAAATCCACCAAAGTATTTATCTTTGGTGAATGCATTAGTTAATGGACAAAAGCAAACACATTTTTATCACTTTTAATTCCATAAATGAGGCACTGATAAGACAAATCTGGACTGCAGGCAGCAGTCACCTGATCTCTTTGTAACATCAACTGATCACTTCCAAGCCCATGTGACCTCGCCCATCCCATTTGGAATGCTTAGATGTAGCTCTTTGCCTTTGACCTTTTGTTCGGACATGTATGTGAATTGTTTTTACTTTACAAGTTGTCCAATTTAAGATTTATCACTAGGGTGGCCAGTTGAGAAACTTTCCAAAATCTTTTCCAAATGAGCTTTCTCTTCATATCTTGCCTCATTATCACCAACATTGGATCAGGAATCAGAATCAGCTTTGGTCAAAGAAGCACAGCCTTTGTGATAAAAAGTCCTGTGTTGAACAATTAAAAATAAATTAGAAGCTTTAGACTACTTCTCATGTGTTCCATCAGGTGTTGAGAAACTCGTGAACCATCTCCAAAAGCACGGCATCCCAATAGCAGTGGCAACCAGCTCAGCCGGTGTAACATTTCAGTTGAAGACAAGCCGCCACAAAGATTTTTTTGCTCTGTTCAACCACATTGTTTTGGGCGATGATCCTGAGGTGAAAAATGCGAAACCCCAACCTGACTCCTTCCTGGTCTGTGCAAGAAGATTCAATCCTGCAGCTTCTCCAGAGAAGGTAAGAAAAACAAACATTTTAAGTTTAAGTAGTTTTTATTGCACCCACTGTCCTGTGGGACACTAAACAATAACTATTAAAGGCTAGTGAAATGGTTAATACAAAAAAGGTGAAATGTCTGCTTTTAAAAATTGCTTTCTGGTACAAGTAAAAAAGATACAAAGCAGATTTTTTTTTTAAATTGTATTAGAATGACCTTTATTAAAGATCTTAATTTCCAACAGGGTTGGATTAGGGTTGTCCTGGTACAATTTTTAACAAAACAAGTACAAATAGAAGTATTTTCATTTGTGTTCTTGCGAAAACCGAGTACTAATACTAATTTAGGCCGGTCTCATAAATATGCAGTGGACTTTCAG